AGGTACTTTGCCGTAAACCAACCGCTCCACGAGAAAACGACGACAAAATGAAAAACGCTACGAACTTATGGAACGACCTAATAATTCTCGTCGTCTGTTCTTCTGAGTATATCGGGCGCTTTAGCTTGAAAAACTTTCGAATCAGTACTCGCTGAAATAAAATCGCTTGCCGTGTCCTCGATTTAGTCATTTATTATATTTACTTACCTAATCAGAGAGCAGAGGTAATCTTGTTTTGAAAGCTACTTTCTACGGCTACAATGTTTTGCTACTAAATCTATGTTCTCAAATTGTCTTCAGTCTCCGTTATAATTAGGAAGTTTTGTTTCAGGATCAAACGTCCTAACTATGTGCTAAAGCGACCGGATGGTCCTCTTGAGCAGATAATCGTCGCCAAAGAGGTAGTACAATGCTTGTCTTTCTTTGAAGCCTCTTTTAACATTCACTTTCTCATCTACAGACCGCTGCTGTCCGTCCATTTGTTGTGGGTGCTATCCTTCGAGATGTATCTTTCGACTCCGAAAATTATGCATCTTTCATGGACCTACAGGTTTTTTGTACTTTTGCAGTTCTTTTTAGCAAAGAAAAGATCTCTCTTTACATTGTTCGGGATGGGTCATTATATAGGCTATCTCTGTTTGCTTCGTCCATAATCATCTATGCGTATAGAATGTGTAGTGTTTCAGAAGCATATGGAAACTTCTGTTCTCTCAAGTCGCATTTTTAATTCAGGATAAGTTACATCAAAATATTTGTCGGAAGCGTACTCTTGTGGCGATTGGTACCCATGATTTGGATACCATATCTGGTATGGCTTCGTTGCTGCTAAGCACATATATTTTATAATTTATTAGCCGTTATTTAGGCCCTTTCAAATATAACGCTGAAATTCCCAAGGAAATCAAATTCAAACCACTTAACCAAACGAAAGAGTTCACTGCGGATGAATTGATGAACTTCTACGCGGTTTGTGATTTCGATGATTTGCATCTACTTAGATTCTGCTACTTTCTTTTTCTAGACTGACAGCCATTTGAAAGCCTATCTGCCAATCATCCGCGACAAAGAGCGCTATCCCGTCATTCGGGATTCAAATGGTGTTGTGTGTTCTCTTCCTCCCATCATCAATGGTAATGTCTCCACTTTTTACGTTTGTTTGCTTTCTACATGAATGATTCAGGTGAGCACTCGAAAATAACTCTCAACACAAAGAATGTTTTTATCGAGGCAACAGCAACAGATCTGCAAAAGGTCCGTAGTTTGAGAACTATTTTCGTCAAAAAATGACGCTGGTGTTTAGGCTATTGTGGTCTTGGACACCGTTGTGACATTATTCAGTCAGTATTGCAAAAAGCCTTTCAAGTGAGATCATGATTCGCAAAAGCCGAAGTTGCTTATCGCATATGTTTAGCATCGAACCGGTTGAAGTGATGTACGAGCAAGATGGTCGAAAAGAAGTTTATCCAGTCAGTTACTCTTGCTATAATATAATTGCATACTTTTTCCTACTGTTGAGCTTTGTTTTTTTT